CTCCATGCAGAGCACAATACCATAGTCTCTCGAGACTGAAGGATGCCTATGATGATGTAAGGTGTCAAACAAAACCCATAAAAGGAGCCATCTTGCAACTCATTCATCAGGTTGCTCAGAAAACTTTGCTTCTCTCTTTCCCTCTCGCTGAACTCCCTCTGTGTGTGCACGCGTGTGCGTCTCGGGGGGGGGCTGCACTTCTGAATTTGCAACGACACTATTATTTGTGACCAATCTAAATATATGACTACCTTACATGGTGCAGCATGTTTTCCAAGATATTTATTCATGACCAGGAAATTTGTGATAAAAAAGAACTTTATTAATAACTAGAACCCAGTTGCCAATATACATTGGCATATGGGAAGTGATATACAGTCATGGCCAAAAATATTGGCACCCTCGCAATTCTGTCAGAAAATGCAACCTTTCTCTCAGAAAATTGGTGCAGTTGCAAATGTCTTGGTACTCACATGTTCATTTCTTTAGTTTGCGTTGGAACAACACAAAAAAAGAGAGAAAAGTCAAATCTGATACAATCCCACACAGGAACTCAAAAATGCACTGGTCAAAATTATTTACACCCTTAATATTTGGTAGTACTCCCTTTGGAAAAAAATAACAGAAATCAATTGCTTCCTGTAACCATAAATGAGTTTCTTACATCTCTCTAATGGAATTTTGGACCACTCTTCTTTTGCAAACTGCTCCAGGGCTTTCTCCCAACTGCTCTTTGGAGATCTCTCCACATATGTTCTATAGGATTCAGATCGGGACTCATTGCTGGCCATTTCAGAACTCTCCAGCACTTTGTTTGTAACGGTTTCTGAGTACTTTTTGAAGTGTGTTTTGGGTCATTGTTTTGCTGGAAGACCCATGAGCTTTGGTGGAGACCCAGCTTTCTGACAACTGGCCACTACATTGTGCCCCAAAATTCTTTGGTAATCCTCAGATTTCATGATACCGTTCACACAGTCAAGGCAACCAGTGCCAGAAGCAGCAAAGCAACCCCAAAACATCTTTGAACCTCCACCAAGTTTGACTGTAGGGACTGTGTTCTTTTCTTTGAATGTCTCATTTCTTTTTCTGTAAACAGTGCCATGATGTCCTTGACTAAAAAGCTCTGCTTTTGTCTCATCTATCCACTGTACGTTCTCCCAGAAGGAATGTGGTTTTGTCACATAAGTTTTGGCATACTGCAGTCTTGCTTTTTCATTCCTTTGTGTCAGTAGTGGTGTCCTCCTGGGTCTCCTACCATAACGTCCCTTTTCATTCAGATGATGACGGATAGTGCAAGCTGACACTGTTGTACCCTGTGTCTGCATATCAGCTTGAATTTGTTGGGAAGATAATCTGGGTTCTGTATCCACCATTCGAACAACACTTCGTTGTAATTTTTCAATAATTTTGCTCTTTCAGAGAGGTTAGCTACAGTGCCATGGGCTGTAAACCCCTTGATGATATTGTGCACAGTGGACACAGGAACATTAAGATCTCTGGAGACGGACTTGTAGCCTTGAGATTGTCAATGTTTTTCCACATTTTTCTCTCTCAGATCCACAGACAACCCTTTACACTTTATTCTTTTCTCCATGCTCAGTGTCACACACAACACAAAGGTTGAGTCAACATTTCTCCAGTCAACTGGTTACAAGTGTGATTACTATATTGCCCACACCTCTTACTTGTGACAGGTGTGACTAAATACAAATGAAATGAGCATCACATGTTTGACAGCAGTTATTTCTTACAATTTAATTTTGGCCAGTGCATTGTTGGGTTTCTGTGGGGGATTGTATCAAATTTGACTTTCCTTCTGTTGTGTGTGTGTGCGTGTGTGTGCGTGTGTGTGTGTGTGTGTGTGTTGTTCCAATACAAACCAAAGAAATGAACATGTGAGTACCAAAACATTTGCAACTGCAACAATTTTCTGAGAGAAGGGTTGCATTTTCTGACAGAATTGCAAGGGTGCCAATACTTTTGGTCATGAGTCTATATGGCAACACACATTTGGCATTTCACAGCTACATACAGTGGACAAGATATAAAGCAGTTCCTCCTGGGAATGAGATGGTGATGCAATACAGCTACTCACATGTGGAAGTTGTCAGCTGGGGGAGGCTTTAGATTAGAGTGTAGCATGGCTAATGGTTTGTTATTATTTATATATTACATGTGTATCCCACCTTTTCCTTCATTGAACTCAAGGTATGCAACTCTCCTCCCCGTCTCCCCTCAACCCACGTAATTTTCACAGTAAATCTGTGAGGTAGGTCAGGATAAAAGAGAGAATGACTGGCCCGAGGTGGGGACTAGAATTGGCATTCCCTCAGTCCCAAGTCCAACACTGTAACCTCATACACCACATTGACTCTTTGAGACTCTCTGCCATCATTCACCTCTTAAAAATAAACTAAGAGTAATGCTAAACTTGGGCTGTTGGGTAATATAAATCTAAGCTTTTGTCAGAGGCCTTGGAAAACCATCCTCCATTCAAGAGCACCATAGAAGTTGGACGGGGAAAAAAAGACCAGAATTTATAATCAGGCTAAATAATAAATGGCTCCAATCTGCCATTCAGTCTTAAAGCAGGGGGGGGGGGAAGAAATCCCACTGCATTATCATGCTTTCTCTGATTTAGCATACGTACATTTAGAAGTAGCATCTGCTATATTAAGGATAAATGTCAAAAGTCCTACCCTGGTTTTTGTGTCACAGAATAAAGGAAGATTAAAGAGTTGGGGAATGATGGTAAGGGGGCAAAAGGTTGATGGAGTAGAAATCTCCGGTCCAGACCCAGAAGTTACTTTTTTTAGGACTCCACAGAATTGTTCTGAGGTATTCTTGAAGCTGAGGGATTCTTGAAGTTTGATTATGAGGCTATGTTGCTGAGGGATTCTTGACGTCCCAAATCCTGGTTCATGTCCCACTGTTAACCCCAGTCCCCAAAATGGGAACGACTTTGACAGAGGAACAAATTGTATCAGAAGGTGGTAGACTTCCCTTCTTTCCTCAGAGATTTTCAGATTAAAGAATGGACGGGCATCTGGTAGGGAGTCTTTAGCTGTGGATTTTCTACACTTGGAGGAAGTTGGAAAATATGGTCTTTGGGATCTTTTCCAACCCTACAATTTCCATGATTCTAGGTTTCTACTTTTAATTTACAAAATCTTCAGTTTCCCCATGACTCTGTCAGTTCATATCAGTCTTTTCCCAGGAGTGCAGTGGAACCAGGTTCAAGAGGATCAAAGCCCTAGCCCGTTCTGCCCAAGTAGGGGTTGATGTCATTGCCACCTGCCCTCCACCTTTCCTGTTCTTCCTAAACTTAGCTGCAATCCTCATAGTAAATAAGAGAAAAAGATTATTTTTCTAGGATTCATGTATTGTTGCAAGCTCTCTCTGTTCTAATGTTAATATTTGAAGCTGGTATAGTCTTGAAGCAATTGAGAGCCATTAGCTGTACAAATGACCTGCTCTTTATTAGTTGATATGGTATGCTCTTTATTAGTTGATATGATGCCAGTGTATCTGGATTGTCTTGGAGTGGGAGGTAGCTACCAGGCTGTCAAGAGGAGTATCTGCAATTTCAACTTTACCACCATACCACTACCTCACTCTCATCATCTCTGTTAACCATTTTTGTGTCTATTTTCTCCTTCCCTTGCTGGTTTTTAATTGGTGGGGTTAATGGAGGAGCATGGATTAAATGGTCTCACACACACCGCACCATACCATGGTGTAGGTTGCAATGTACTAGTTAAATGTCTGTGGTGTACAGAGAATAAAAAAGACCAGAATTGTTTTCAAAGAAATTTGGACCTCTTAAGAAGAACAGTTATAATGATATGCTGAAGTTACTCATAACTGAGCAGTGGCAAGGGATGATGATCTGGGCCACAGGTCATCAGATCATTATATTTTCAGTGGGAGGACATTCTCAAGTTCTCAGCTGCTCCTCAGTGTCAGGAAATCCAATTTTGATTCCCTCATTTTGTAAATTTGATACAGGAAGTTACAGGAAATGAGTGTTAGCTCACAGATAACAGGTATTCTGTTATACTGGAGACTTCTGTATCAACCCATATTGCTGAGCTCCACCGGTTAAACTTTTTGTTGGTAGGGAGTGTAGCTTCCTTACACACCTCTGCCACAGAATGCACTGCCTGCTCCTGTTTTCATAGTAGTGGCAATAAAGGAATGGATTGCTCCGTATGAAGCTGCATCTGTGAAGGTGTTGGCATGAATATGCTTTAACAATGTGGAAGTGGATGAATAGGAATCAGGCTTCAAAATGAGAATCATTGTGTAATGCTCTGAAAGACACCTGTTTGGGGAACACTGGATGTATCTTCCAGAGGCATGGAACGGCAGTTCACAACATGGGCACTTGAATGGCTTGCTGGAGAGGATGAGAGCTGTAGTCCAACATGTCTGGAAGATAAGTTGTTGGGAAAGGTCGACACAACCTGTTCCATATCTCAGTGTTATTTAATTATCTTTTGGGCATGCAGATATCCCCCTTCTTGCTTTCTTCCCTCCATTCAGCATCTTACGCTGCCTCTTGTTGCTTCCTTTCCTTTGAAATTTATTTCCAGACCTGAACATGGGGGAACAAGTCTGTCCGTGGGTATTGGCATCAGTGATAAAAGGAAAATGGAATCTGCTGAACTGGTTTGGAATTACTAGTGAAGGGGGACACACTGCCAGTTTGATTCTTAAAGGGCAGTTTGAGGAAAGCAATTGTTGCCTCCATGACCCACTTGTGAATCTCCGTGTTGCATCTGATTGCTTAATGTTGGTTTAAAAAGGGTTTTTGACTAGAGGGACTATTGGTCTGATTCTGAACTCAAAACAGTTGTTTTCGGATTACGACTCCCAGAATTCCTGAGCCAGCATGGGGAGGATAGTGGGAGTTTTAGTCCACAAAAGTTATATTTCTGAGCTGTGGTTGATTCAGCAGGATTCCTCCTGTGTTGGTCTACAGCACTGTCCCGTTCTTTCTCCAAAAGATAATTAATTTTGGAATGGGAGTTAGGCAAGTTGGTGGCTTCCATGTGTCTTGGACTACAGGTCCCATCAGGCCATAGCCAGCATGACCCACGTCACGAATGAGGGAAGCTATAGTGCAAAACATTCAGACTGTCCTGGGTTGTCTACTCTTGATACTGTATAGAAAATACAATGCCACAAGATACAGAGCTAGGCTGCTTGCCTACAGAGTGATGCCATGTTGGTCCAGAAGGTAAGATGTGCCCATGGAACAGCTGAAGTATCCAGAGCTTTGCCACACACAAGGTGGATGATGGGGGTGGGTGGGGAAGAGTTAGGTTTCTTGTTGCTCCCTCCTCCCACCCCACCCTCATTTTCTTTCTGTAGTAAAAAAAAACAATCCAGAAAATAAGGATTGCAGTCACAGCATGTACAGTAAATGAGGGATTTGGATGCAGTGATTGAAGGCTGACCCCTGGAATGCCCACTTTTGGAGGGGAGGGCTGACCGCTCCCTTTCCTCAGTGTAACTGGGGCCTCTGGGGGCAAGCTCAGAAGTAATGTGTTAGATTTAATACAGTGGGGTCTTGACTTGAGAACTTAATCCGTATTGGAAGGTGGTTCTCAAGTCAAAAAGTCTGTAAGTCAAGTCCCCATTGACCTACAGTGCATTGAAAACCGATTAATCCCGTAACAGGCCGTTTTTGTTCCATTTTGTGTTTTTTTCTGGTCTGTAAGTCAATTCTCAGGCTGCAAGTCAAACCTAAATTTTGCGGCCAGAGAAGTCTGTAACTCAAAAAGTCTGTAAGTCAAGCCGTCTGTAAGTCAAGGGTCCACTATACTTTGACATCATTTGTATTAAATGTACCCAATTTTCAGGAAACAGCATTGTGAAAGCAACATTAAAACATCAATTAGCTTATTTAGTTAACATGTTCTTTCCCAGCTTTCCTTTGAGGAAGAAGCGTCCTCAGCCCCATGTGAGAAATCCTTTTCTGCTGGAAAAGGGGCACCATCCTCACCTAATCTCAGTCACTCTCTGGCGGCTCTCCAAGAGGGTTCATGTTGCTTTACGCACTCAGTTTTGAAAGAACAGATTGGCACGGGTGGTCCTACTGTTTGCCCATCTGACCTCTGATACTTCTCTTGAACAGTGGGGAACTGCACAAGACAGCTGCTGCAAAGGAAGAGACTGTTTGGCAAACCAGATGTAGCTGCATTTGCCTCTAAGGATCCTGGTAGCCACCCCCACCCCCACCACCAATGCAAATGTATAGGGGGCAGATCTATATCACCAGCCATGAGCCATGTTGTTTGAATGGAACCTGCACGTTGAAGGAAGTCTATCTCCCATGGTCAAATGCAAGAGGAGAGTGGTAGAGAATGGCTGTCGCGGTTACACCTGCCTGAGAACTGGCCTGCTGAAATCTTGTCGAATAGATTGACCGTCTGATTAATCAGTGGGATCTCTTCATGCTCATGATCTGCTGGTTTGAAGCCAGGAGACCTTTTTGTACTCATCCTATCTCATGACTGGAACCCTTGAAATAGTTATGTTTTTGGGCAACAGCTCCAAGAATTTTCCTGCTAGCATGGCCAGTGGATTCCAGCTGACAGTTTTGGGGTATTTTGGTCATTAAAACTAACTTTTCCAAATTCTA